CTCCTTACTCTTCATCTTCAACCTTCTACCGGTTTTGATCAAGATGCCTCCCAAGGAGTAAAACAACTCATACAAGGAGGAAGGTAAGGAGCTTGCTCCTCCCCCTTTCTCCCCTTTCTCAACAGCTTGGCTTTCACATCTCTCAAGGCTTTTCTTAATGGGGATATACCTCGTCAAGCTCAACGGTACCCTTTGATCGGCCCGTGGTTTTGAGAGTGTTTCCTATAGCACAGGAGTGGCTCGAGTTGATGAACTTCATCTCTTCTCTTTGCTCATCTTAATTTCTCTCTCTTTGCCTTAAAAACCCATCGGTGGGCTTTTCTCTATCACTCTCTCTCTAACAATTTCATGACCCTCATTTTAACTCCCATCTCTTTCCCTTAAAAATCTACTGGCATGACTTCTCTCTCGTTCCCTTAAAAACCCATTGGTGGGCTTTACTCCATCACTCTCTCTCTCACGCAATTTCATCACCACCAGGAGGCCCAAATCCCAAAGTTCAATTCAAACCTTTCGGAAATCATCTTTCAAAACTTTGGAAAGTCAAAAATGGATGGAGGGGGGCGCAATGGTACTTGGGAGCCAAATATATTTCAAAAAATAAGGCCAAGGAGAAGGTATGATCAATAAAACTCTTCTTCCTTTTTCACATCTTTTGCTATGGATCAAAAACACTTGGTTAAGTGATATTTTCATAGAACAAAAAAACTGCAAATTGGTTGTTTTTCTATGACAAAATCGTGTTTGAATTCTTACAAATTTTTACTTTGAAAATGCTTGGACTGTGCCCTCAAAATATGCGATTAAATGACTAAAAGACACTTTGTCTCGATTTTTGGCAATTTTCAAGCCCTTTTCAGCTGGGCGAAGATGGGCTGTGTGTGAAGTGGGCTCTCTGTGCCAAATGCCTCAATGTGTTACAAGATACGCCCATCACTCCGTGATGTAAAACTGTTCAGAGGGCTCAATGGTTGCACGAACTTAAAAAGCTAACCAACATCAATTTCTTCCAAAATTTCTCCCTATCTTCAAACATTTCCCCTATATGTTCCCGTGAAGTTTTCAAAAATCTTAATTTCTTTGGTTAAATCGTAGTCCAAAACTCTGTATTGGTTTCAAAATCCTACCAAACTTCAAAACCTTATAAAATGTTTTTTTAAAAAGAATGAGTTTCAAGTAGGCTTGGACCTGATATGTTTTGCCACCACTAGATCCTGGATGCCATACTGCAAACTGCTTAGAAAGAACAACTCATAAGTTCACAAAATTTCAAGCTTGAACCTTTGGATCTTAAGAATTAGAATCAAAGGCGAACAAAGTTCTATTAGTTAGGAATTCATCATCATCATTCATTTCTACTTAAAATCAGAGTCCAATTCAATTGGAGACCAGACTTCAAGAAAAAGGTCTGAAGTCGAAAATGATTATACTGGAATCCTATGTAGCCTTGGGGTGACCTCAACAAGAAGTCATCGGCTCAAAGATAGCATAATTCTTGTTGACTACGGATCTCGATTGTCGAAGACCTTTCAATGCTACTGCCTCAAAAATAGTGTAGTTTCAGTTCGATGTCTTACACGTTAAAAGCATCCATCGAGGTACCGCCTCCCCAAATGGTACTCGCCATTCGAAAGGATTACACCTCAAAAAAAATATTTTCATCATCTCCCAAGTGTTTACTTCTTTGCCATTCACCTGGTACCCCAGGTGAATGCCAGAGATGCCAAAGAGGGGCAACTGTAGACACCCCTTTCAAAATTCAAACTAAAGGAATTCTAAAAAAAAATCCTAAATATGAGTTTATAGGACAACATAAATCCTAGCAAATCATTGAACACCTAAATCCAGTTTAATTATCCAAAAATCACCCAAAAACTATCTCATATCATAGTAGACCTTGAGAGCTTTCCAACGATCCAAAAATCATACAAATCAAACCTACATAATCAAATCTAAAGCCTTAAAAAATTAGGGGATAAAATTACCAAAATACCTTTGCCTAGACCGTGCGCACCACATGGCACGCAATATGCAGGCTGCGTCATGCCGTATGAGGTGCAGCCCGATGGGCCCAGGGCGGTGGGTTATTTTCTAGAAGCCTTTGAATTGGTCAAAAGCAAAAATATGTGAAATTGACTATTTTGACTCAATTTAGTGCCCTTGGATCGAACCGATCTAATTTCCAGTGTAACCCTACTTCATCCAATAAATACTCCATCCAAGATATATTAAAATCCCTATAAAAAAAATAAAAATTATAGAAAATAGATTGAGATCCCTATGAAATTGAAAATTAGGAAAATTCCCAATAAATCCTAGAAAATAGGAGATTATATTAGAAAATTCCTATAAAATTAGGAAATTTAAAAAAAAATCCCCAAAAAAATCAAAATATCCGAAAATTAGATTTAAAAATCGGAGACCTCAAAACCCTTAGAAAGTTAAGAAAAATCAATTCATCGTCTTTGAAAATCTTAGGTAAAACCTTATCTAAAAATCTATAGCCCTTCTTTTAGCCTTAAGAACTCTAGATCCATTTGAAAAAACCTCACATCTACCGATTTTCAGCAAGCAAAGGGCATCAAAAGAGGAGGTCGTGGCACTAGAAGGGCAGCATGCTCCAAGCCCGAACCTTTAGGTTTCGGATCCCTAAGGTAAGTATTAGCGAGATAGTTTCTCCATTCCTCTGCTCCCACTAGTAGAAAGTTAGATGCACATCAATTCTTATCAGTAAGGGACAAAATTGTCTTGAAAAAGTAATATATCACACCTGGAATCAGAGCAATTATAACCTTTATTGTTTCTTATATTTTTCATATTTTACCCCCTTTGAGCTAGGGGCATTGGATTGACAAGGAAATTGATTTGGAAAGGTTAAAATAGGACTCATGACTTAGGTATTAAAAAAAAAAAAGTACCTCGCATCTTAATTTGAAGCATCGTTGTCAGGAATAGGGGTGGCAATGGACCTGGACCCAACTCGAGACCCGTCGGGTGTACCCAACACGGATTTCAGTATGGGTTCAGTATTTGGCCCCGGTGAGTCAAGTCTAGGTCAAACACCATTGGGGTCCGGGTCCAGCTGGACCCTGCCCATACCCGATCCGTACCCGTAAACCGTTAGAAATAAAATTACTTTACTTTAAACCCTATTCGTTTGGATGTATTAAAGATCTTATACAATAAAAACTCATAATCTTCTTTAACTATTAAATGACAAATCAGATAAATCAAAGGCCTTCAAATTTACTTGAAGGTGATTGTAACCCTATTGCTAATAACATGAGTATATAATGGCTAAAAAAAAGGCAAAAAAAATAGAAAATGGCAATGGATCCAACCGGACTTGAGACACGATGAGGTAGATCCAAGACCTGATGAGTATGGGATGGGTCCAATTTTTGGACCCGAGTCCGGGTTCAAAACTAGACCCTAATACTATTCAAATCCAAGTCCAACCGGACCTTGAACCTAACCCTACCGAACCTGTTGCCACCCCTAGTCGGGAAACCCTCAAATTCATTAGAAAATATTTCAGTAAGGTTGCAAGTAAAGCCTCACATAAATTATAAGTTTGGAAGAAAACCTTCAAATCAATCATCATAGCCTTGACCCTTATAATTGTTAAAAAAAAAATGAAGACTTCCGACCTTAAAAATAATATATAATATATATAATACATTATTTGAACCATCTTTATCTTTTTTTTAAAAAAAATAAATATCCACATAAATATTTCATGTACATGCATTATGAGATTGTATACAATGAGATCATTATCTCATTTATCTTTGATACAAATTCATTACAATTATTTACAACCATTCTTATGTGAAGTTTGATAGCTTGGATATATCACAAAGTTCAAAAAAAAAATGATATAATCAATAGGATTATTGCAGTCACCCAATTTCCCATCGTCAAAAATAATGCGATCACCTTATACCAAAGATAAAAATCTCATCCTATACTTTCCTGCATTATCTATACTATTTTTTGAGCTTCGAATTTCATAATCGGACCTGAAAATTGATTTAGAGCCCACTGAGATATTTCCAGTCCAAAATGCGTCTTGACCGAAGACTCGAGGTATGCTTTAATTTGTTGTCATAAAGGTTAGACCTCATAAAAACTCCATCCAATTACTTATACCCTCCCTAACTTATATAAATAAGAAAAAAAAATGAGAATTTCAAATCCTCAAAACAATGTATATAAATTGATTTTCCCCCAAAAAAAAATGTCTATAAATTGATTTTCCCCAAAAACAATGTAAGATATCATCTAAGACATTCCATTTTCTAGTGTTCAGATGCTTGCATCTAAGACATTTCATTTTCTAGTGTTCACATTCTTATGAGATATGTACCATTTGGAGAACTCTAAAATTTCAAAACGAGACTTTGTTCCATTAAATACGACTTCTCCCAAAAGACCTGAGACTTTTAGGAACTAACAGAATCGATAGGGATCGAAGTAATGCAAAATAGATTCGGTACGGATCAGTACAAGAAGAATGTTCCGAAAATTTGAGTAGACTTTGCGAAAAAATGATAGCGATCTTTATAGAGGCCTCTAAAACCAATGTTTTAAATCAAATTCAATATAATTTGAGGCCGGGACATGGCCTTTCTTCATGAAAAGATCTGTTTTCATTCCACTTCTATCAAAAAAAATGATTTTTTTTAGGGTTAAGATGGATCGATTTGGGTCTAAATCAACTAAAATAGCGTTTACTAAAATTGGGTTTGGCTATGAATCAAATATTTCAAAAAGACAACAAAAAAAAATCCCCAATTTCTTACCTTTAAAAAATAAATGAAAATAAGAAACAAACAATTCTCAATTCCTCACAAATAAAAATCCACACTTCTACAGTATGCAAACAACTCTCATCGCATTTCTGACTCCGTCAGAATTAATGAGAAAAAGAGAAAGAAGAGGCAAATTGAACATTAAGAAATTCATGTCAAATCACCAAATAAAATAAAATAAATAAATCAACCAAAAGCTCCACCACCGTTTCATTTCTTTTTTTTTTTTGAAACAAAAGAAAAGAAAATGAAATGAGAGTTCCGGGCCTCTCACAAAAATCCAGCGTCAAAGATGCGTCGCTTGTTTGACGCCTCACGCAAAATTCCAAACCCAATCTGACGCTCCGTCTACCAGCCGTATACGCATCGTATACGGCCGCACTGTGGAAGGACACACCAAAAAAGCCATGGTATCCAACCGTATACGTATCTGTATGTATAATTGAAATTAAAAAAAAGAAAAGAAAAAAAAAGCACTCCTCCAATTCGATAGGTCGGCGAAATCCAAGTTCAGGGACTCCAAAACCCAATTTACCGACGACTAAGCGGCCGCCTCGACGTGGCCCTTCCTTGGCCGTCCGATCGGACCGGCAGGGGAAGGACCTCGAAATCCGACGGTCACTGCATCGTACACGCACAAGTGGAAGGGAACCGGCCGCTCTTTGCTCTCTCTGCAAAGCTCGCATACTGTCGATGTGCGCTCTTTAACAGTAGAAAATAGGCCCCTCCCGTCAATGCCGTAATTTCCGTTTGCGAAATAACTTTCCGGCGAGGGGTACCCGCCGGTGAATTGCAACCCATTGCCGGGATTTGGTTTTCCAGAGTCTGGGTTCCGGCGTAAAAGGGTCTTCTCCGGTGAGATTTTGGATGGCAGAGCGCCCTCTTCGATCCTTTGAGGCTTCGACCTTCGATCCCTTTTGGGCTTCTTGATTGTCACTAGAAAGAAGGAATCGAGATTCGAATTATGGATTAGGATTTGAGAGAAGCTTGTGGTCTCAGTAATTGGGATTTTCAGGCGCTTTTGGTTGCTCTTTCGGCAAACCAGAGAGGTGGAGATCTGGTTAGGAGACATGCCGAGCTTTTGCGAAATTAGAGATTGCAACCGCTTGAAGGTTAAGGCATGGTGGATTGAGATATGGCCCATCTCTATGTCTACATCTCCATCAAAAAAGATCACCTTGTAAGGTGCGCTCAAAGGAGACTCCATTAGTGTGGATTTACAGAACTTTAGTACTCAAAGAACAAAAGAACTTGAAGAAAACCTGAACACAGGGGATTATTGAAGAAAAGCTGATCACAGGGGATTATTGAAGAAAAGCTGATCACAGGGGATTATTGAAGAAGAAGCTTTAATGGTGGTGAGATTTCTAGGGTTTTGATTGAAGAAGAAGCTTTAATGGTGGTGAGATTTCTAGGGTTTTGATTGAAGAAGAAGCTTTAATGGTGGTGAGATTTCTAGGGTTTTGGTAGAAGCGGCCTCGACGAACTTGAAGACGGCCATTGATGGGCAAACGTGGAAGAAGCTCCACAGCAATAATCGTTTGCAGTTTTCTCGAGAGCATTTTATATTTTTATTTACCATTGGAATATGAGTGGCGGTGTGGAGGGCATTTTCGGTATCAAAAATTGAATAGCTTTTCAAATTTTGGAAATTTCTATAAGAAACCTGCGGAGAGAGGATTGGCATGGGATTCCTTTTTACGAAAATGCCGCTCTTCGCTGTCTCTTTTTCAGGATTGCCATTTGTCCAAATGTTTTTTCAAAGTGCTTAAATACCCATTTTTAATGATGGAATGACGGTGAGGCGGTGATGCCTCCTGGAAAACGTCATTTAGTCTCAGGTAGATAAGAATGTTTATTTAAATAACTTATAAGTTTTTAAACATATTATCTTAGTATTTTAAAGTTTTTGTGATTTCTATCGTTAGTTTAGATAGGAATTGGTCCAAACCGAATCAATCATCTTAGTATTTTAAAGTTTTGGTACTATCGTTAATTTAGATGGGAATCGACCCAAATCGAATCAATTTTAAAATGATATTAGTTTATGCTTGATTCTTTTTAAAATCATCATCATAATTTTTTTTCAATTAATTGGGATCAGTTATATAAATTCTAATATGTCATTCTTCTCTATTAAGAGACATACACTCGATGAGACCATAAGTCCAACATCTTTTGGGACTACTTCTAATCAAGTCTTTTCAGGTCTATCTCTTAATATTTTCAATTATTCCACTTGAAATAACTTGCACTTCCTAGCAGGTATTGTACCTGATTGGAGCCACGCATGGCCGTTCCACCTAAGTCTATTCTATCTTATATTCTCGTCTATTGGTGCTGCATCTAAATTCTTTTGAATGGATCCATTTCTCACTTGTCAATCTCAACATCCATGTCAACTCAATTCTTCTTAAAATCTCCCATCCTATATTGTTTTTTAAGTTTGTCTAATTTATTATTATTATTTTTAAATTCTCACCTTATAAACCTCTATTTTTATTTTATGTATTTTTAATATTTTTTGTATCATTCATTAAGATCCATCTATGCTCGAATTGAATCGTTGATATAGTAATCTGATATGGGTTTGTAGATAAAAATATGCCCCACCGATCTGAATTTTAAAACACTTAATGATCCATATAATTTGCTATAAAATAAATTCTGTTTAAGACTATAGCAAGGCTCACACCTTCACATGCCACCTATTTACTTGTTTATGAACACAAAAGCATCTATATAATTAGAAAAGGAATAGGGCATTCATAAGGCGCTCATGCAAGCGTGTTTTCTCTCTTCTTCTTTTTTTTATTTATTCTTATTAAAATGGTGCTTAAGATCTTATAAGTATACAATTTTGTTTTTAATATATACCAAGAATTTGAAATGGATGGCAAAGCTGTAATATGATATGACAACGAGCGCATATTGTAGTGCTGCTAAAATTTTAAAGCCAAGGCCTCGCGCTGGCATTGCAGGATGACTCATACCAAACGCAAGCAAATCCCCCACTTTTTCCTTAATACCTTTACTATCTTTATTTGTAACCAAAGGAAAATTATTTGATGGGGTTGCAGCTCTATCAAATGCCTCAAATTAAAACTCAAAAATTTGCAATTTAAGGATTAAAAAACTTTTAAATCAATCATCTTATCTTTGACTATTATGGTAATTAAAAATAATTAAAATTTAAATTTTAAAAAATAGTACATTTTATAATAAATTATTTAGACTGTTTATTTCACTTTAATAATAAATATTCATATATTTACAAGATTTGTACCATTTTTTTAGTTTTAAATTTATAGTTATATCAAAAATTGATTTTAAAACCATGAGGGAGATTTTTTTATGCCCAATGTTCATCAAATAATGAAGATTTGATGAGAGACTTTATTTTGTTTTTGTAAAACTTGGGCTTTATAAAAACTGCATCCATAACAAAATATATGTACCTCACATTAATGATTAAACAAATCTACCAGAGGATCAATGCCCGATTCTCAATTAGACGATAGAGATTAACCCTGTATCCATGTAATGTTTGACCCCAAAATTTGCTATAATTATTGTCGTTTATCATTCGAATTAGTGTTTTAAAACCTAGATTAGTAGGATGGATAGCTCGTCAACGAATTCATGTTGGATCACTAGATTGGCAATTTGGATCGCGAGTCCAAATTAGTATGAATCAACGATCCAAAAATATTAAAAATAAAAATAGCCGTTAGTTGTTGGGGATTAAAAATGACATAAGATCATTAAACAAGATTTTATATATATATATATATATATATATATATAAAGATAGTTTTAGGAGTAACTCGGCTGGAACATACACCTTACCTGAACCAGTTCGATCCAGATCGACAGGAATCGACAATCCAAATTGTAAACACCATGTTTTAAAATAATGGAATGATGGTCCATGAGTATACTTTTCATTATGGCATATTTTCGGGTTAAAAAATGGTCATAAATTAGTTATAATTTAATTTGATTTGAAGGCATTATCCATTAAGGATCAGTTTTTAGAAGTTCCAAAGTAGTGGCGATATTCGCGGAATTTCGAGAAGCACGGGATTTGTGGTTGTAGCTTGGGGCCCAAGTAACTTCAACTAATCAAGTTCTCCCTTTTTTATGATTATTTTCAAATGACTAAAAAGGCCATCACACACATATAAATTTCCCATATGCCCTCTTTACTTCCTGTGGCCCGTGAGTCAATCCCAATAGGATTTATTTTCGGGGGAGGTTTGTGTAAGGTGCCAACCTTATACTATTGAAGTATGGTGTACCTCAACACTATGCTGAAAATGTAGTTTCGGTACTGCACCCTTACAATGATGTGAAATTCGATTGTTTCTTTTAATTATGAAAGTTAAAGTTCCACAAATAGTGACGATGAAACAGATTTGTAAACACTTGGAAATTTTGAAAAGGAAAAAGTTTATATAGAGCCAAGGCTCTAAACAATCAAATTGAGCCGACCACAAAAATTTCACAATAAGATGTAGTTTTGATGTGCAAATATCTTCAAATTGATCATCTTGACATCAAGATGTATACACATGAAAAAAATAGATTTCAAGTTTTGGAAATAATGTATTTTGTAATGTATTTTTGGACCATCAATTTTCAAAATTTTCTAGTTTTCATAGATCTGCCGATCTACACTATTTTTTAAGCTTTAAACTCTATAAATAATTATAAAAATATATTTTAAGTCTATTACACAGATTTCCAATATTGAAACCACATTTATCGATACTATTTGAAGGTAGGCTCTAATTTGATTGTTTAGAGCTTAGGCTCTATGCAAACCGCACCCTTTTGAAAATAGATGGTCCAAATAATGTGTTAGAAGATGAGACTCGAAATTCCCTCTTTTATGTATGTGAATCTCGAGGTCAAGATGACCAATTCGAGGGTTTTTAAGCATAGAAACAACATTCTCCGGTGGGTTTTTGAAGTGCACCCGCACTTGTATAGTATAAAGAAGACACTTTATATAAACTTTTTCCTTTATTTTAACTTTGTCTTGTGTTGTATTATTGGTCTTGTGTAAGCCTTCCCGAGTAATACGGTCATGCGTTCAGGCCCAATCTTAATATGAATAAGTTTTATTAGTATAGGGACTTGGAAAATTTCAAAAATAGTAACATGTGGTTTTTAGTATTAAATTATCATTTAATGAGTTATTCTCTCTATCTCCTGAGTCTCAAGTGAAAATGTCTCTCTAAAAATACCAACATGACTCCCTCTCCCCAAGTTGTCTCTCAGTTTTTTTTTATCTATTTTTCAAACTCTCTTCCTATTTATTCTTTCCAATTTATTTTTATTAAAAAAAATTGAATAACCAATGGGAGGTTGATATTTATTTTTTAATAATTATTGTTATTTACATAACAAATAACATAGGTCCTCAAGGAGAGGGACATGTGTCATCTAAGTAGAGCTTTATTACACTATAGGGAGAGACTTTGGGGCAGGGTACTTGTTGAAGGAGGTATTACAATGTGGGAGTTTAGGATATCCTACCTCCTAGTACAATTCATTATACATCTCCTATAATAAATATTTTTATTCGTAATTTTATAGAAATTGTAGAATTAAAAATTTAATTAAAAAATGAAATTTCCCCTTTAATTATTACTTTATCCAAACTTATGAGTAAATAATTTGAGGAAAAGTATACAATGAGACTATTTATTTTTATTACAGGGTGGTTACAACTAATTTTACTATTGGATGTAAGATTGGATGGCTACATTTATTCCATTGACTAAACTAAAACTTTAAATGGAATTTTCTTGAACTTTGTGACTCTCATTGTACCCAATCCCATAATTTGGATGCATATACACTTACATACATATTCTATTATGAAGATTGTTAATTTTGTTGGAAACTCAATCCTTAACACCCAAATCATAGGAAATTTTTTAGAAAAACATCATACATGATTGTGACTTGAGATTTAAAAAACAGTAATATGAATGTGCATCATACGTGCTTCTTGCTAGTTTTAGGTGACCTAATTTGTGGCCTAAGTTCCTAACCAATTAAATTATAAACTACTGCTGAAATATTGTTTTTAAATCACAAGAAGTAATTTTAAGCAACAAAAATTCATTACAAATTCAGCTTCTTTATTTTCTCTAAAACCAAATATTTGTATGAATCCTTATCCATCTGATATGAAAAGTGGACTTCATTTATTCCAATTAGATGGTATGATAATAACTTGATTTTGGAACCCCTAAATTTAAAATGGAAACAAATAAGGGAAATGTTAAGGTTTTTCTTACATAGTAAAGGGCACAAAAAATTCCCTCTATAACTGCAGGTTTTATTTTTTGGGATTGTCTATTCAGAGCCAGGGCCTCTTTTGTACATGGAGGTCGCACTTATTTTTGTTCCTTAAACTTTCAAATTGATGGTGGTAAAAGTGTCACTGAATAGACACAAAGTTCCAAATTGGAGGTGGTTCTAAAAGTGTCGCTGAATAGATACAAAGTTTCAAAAAAAAATTTACCGTATTTCGTGAACCATCCCAAGCCATCCAATTTGAAATCTAATGAATGGAAATGATTGTGACATCTATGTACAAAAGATAAATAACCTATTTATAAACAATCTTTTACTTTTTTT